AACTCAGCCAGTTATATCTTTTGTTAACTGCTTTTAAAATGCTCAGTCAGATAGTACTTTATAATAAACGTGTGTCAGGAGTTAGTATTTGAAGGTTAAGATATGAGTATTTTTAATTTAGAATGTCATTTCTACAGCAGTCCCCAGCATACTTGACATGGAGTGAGATATTTTTGATTCAATGAGTTTTTAGCTCATTTCACCGAATGGTATAATGAGGCCACAAATCTATTTAAATAATACCTTGAACAAACTGAACGAGCAGCAAAACTTCAAGGCTGGGTACCTGACTGAATGCATCTACATTTTAATAGTTGTTGGTGATATGACCTTTTTATTTAATCTTTTGAAGGCTTGGGCCTATTCCTGGGAATAGACTTTAACACATCTGAGTAGTCATTTGTGATCATTCAAATATCTGTAATATCAGCAATACCTCTTCAACAACATACCACTCCAATGCCATTTAAAAGCATAATACTTTTGCAGTTAAATTGGCTTGCGTATTATTGATAAGCTTCTTACTGTAGTCAGCTCTCCACTAATGCTTTTGTTTTGCTGGTTTTATAATAAAAATGCAGTTGATGCTCTGTTCAGGCTAGATAAGCACTTACCTGAATGTTTAAATTTGCCTCAGTGTAAAGACTGCAGTAGCACAGAAGAAGAGCACAAGAATACAAAACCAAATTGTTCTTTATCATTTGTGTGTTACTGGCGATATTTTCCTTGGTTATTTTACAAGAAAGTGTTCAAGATTGAAGAAGGAAGTTGGACCTTAGCCAGGAGAGGAAAAAGTCCGAGTTGCTGCAGCAAAAATGTGATTGTTCTTAATATAGCTTTTGATAGGAAGCAAGGAAATTGCAAAGTGTGGAGGGATTTAGGAACATTTTGACTGAAAGAATAAATACAACTGTCGCAACAGATAAAAGAAATAAATTGGTGGCTATTTGCACCTTCAAATGTTAGTTGACATGCCATGATACGTGCCCTTGGTATGTTTGAAAGCAAGTGTGCCAAAGCACACAAAACTGGCAGAGCTTTGCAGGGGCACAGATATTTGATCTATATAGAGGATGAAAAATATTGGAAAGTAGAAATAAAAACTGATAAAGATGTGGATTAGTATATGGGTAGCCAGATTGAATCTGAATCTGTCATTCATTTAATTTGTAAACTAATTTGTCAACTAATTGCGCCAGATTACTGGTAAATCTCAAGCAGTTTCTGTGAGCTTCTAACTTGCCCACTACAGTTCAAGGCAGTGATGGTTTTAACCAATGTGCCTTGTTAATATGCTGCTGGTTCATGGAAAATCAGCTGCTATCCTGTCAAACTTTTGACAGGTCTTGGACAGTAATAGTTGCAGAGATGTAGGGTGCAGGTATCTGGAGGGTCTTACTTTAGGAAATGGGAGTGCATAGCAAGAAAAGCCTTGCCTATCTTCATCGGATTTGATGGAAGACTTGCCCAGAAGGCAAAGTTTTTAAAAAAAATCTTGCACTTTCAAATTTGATATCCTCTTCTCAGATTCTTGCTCAGACTGAATGCTAGCATTGGGGCCCACACTGTAAATCTGTCATTGCACCCTGATCAGATCATTGATGACATGCATAGGTGAAACCAGCCTGACTTGAAGCAGTCAAAGTCTGAAATGATGGATAGGTCATGTGGGGGCATTTTGACTGCCCATGTGTCTAATTTCCATCCAGTAGATGGGGTTGAAATTCCATTCTGCCTCACTCCCCAACTCCGGGCCAAGAAGGGAAATTATGGCCTCCTTTGAGGCTTCTGATTCCACGATGTGCTTTGGGCCCCGTAGAATAGAATAGAAAGAAGTCATTCAGCCCATCCCGATGGCACCAGGTCTTTGAGAGAAATCCAGTGCCGTCCACCTTTTAAATTCGGGCTGTATGATTCGCGATCCTTCAGCCATTTGCAACAGTTTCTGTTTATTCTATCCAAACCCTTTGTAATTTTGCATATTTCTACCAAAATCCCTTGGCTTCTTGGCTGTCAGGAAAACAACCCCAGCTTCTTTTTAATCCATCATTCCTGGATCTGTTCTATTAAATTTCTTCCTGTTTCTACAAAGCCTCATATCCTTTTGGTGCTAGAACTTGAAACCATAGACTCAGTGGGGTCACACAGTTTACTATAGGCTCAGCAAAAAAAACTTTTATTTCTTTACTGTCTGCCTCATCTATTAGGACTATAGAAAGCGCACATTTCAAGATGAAACAGCTTGTAGCCTTAACTTTGTCAGACAACTTTGTCTGTATTTCTTCCTATTTGAACCTGGCCCTACGTCAAAGTGACTTCTTTTGAAGTTTTTTCAGATTTTCTTGAGGGCTGCTTGTTTGATTTTTCAGGTGTTACTTCCATTCTCTTAACTTATTTATTAGGTTAAGCAATCATGTAGCAACAATGACTTCTGTAATTATGTTCTCACATATGGTATTTGGACTCTCAGCAAAATCAGAAGAATTTCTCTATCTTCAATCATCAAGCCTTCGGTAAACTTAAGCCACAACATGCAAGGAAAGCATTCATTTACCCACTGCACAGTATTTAAATTGGCAAAACGCAACACGCATAAATTAGTAACAGAAGTTATTTTGAAAATAACTGACAGCATCTCTCTTTTTTATGTTAAAATGTCTTTCATCTTAACACACCACCTGTAGCTTAGTGAAGTCAAAACTAGTACATCTCCATCTCCATATCGGCAAAGTGTTTTAACCAGGTAGTTACTGCCATTTAACTACATCTTAAATCTTGATCTCCAATTTAACTAACAATTGACACGTTATTCATTATAATATTTGCTATCTAATAGCTACTGAACTTATGCAGTCTTGCGTGAGAGATTCCACATTTATTTGCAAGGAATTCATTTTAACTCTTAAGTACAAATTTCCCTGGCCTCTGGTTGGTTGAGAATTCTTTTATTTACAGGTTTAAAAATGTTTATTCTCTTTTACTATTTCCTCCCCTACCTTGTATGCACCTTCTTCTCCCCCCCCCCCATTGGTAGTCTTATTCTATTCCCCTTCCAACCTCCTCCTTCCCACCCTTCACTTACAGCATCTTCCTTCTATCCCTACTATTTGCATACTCGCTTACCCCTTTGCATCCCCCAGAGGCCCATGTCCAGCAGGTCACCTAAGACCTGGCTCCTGGTGGCAAAGCTACAGGCTCTGTAGCAGCAAATGTGGGAAAGGAACAGCATGCGATTGGAGGAGCATTAGATTAGAGAGAGAGAATTTTGATTGGAGCAGTAGCTCACAGGGCAGCACAATGGCATAGTGGTTAGCATTGCTGCCTTACAGCCAGAGACCTGGATTCAATTCCAGCTTTTTGTGACTGTACAAACTCCACTGTGTCTGTGTGGGTTTACACCAGGTGCTCTGGTTTCTTCCCACAGTCCAAAGATATGCAGGTTAGGTGAATTGGTCACACTAAATTGCCCCGTAGTGTCCACTTATGTGCAAGCTAGGTGGATTAGCTATGGTGAATGTAGGGTTATATGGATGGTGGGCTGGGACTGAGTGGGGTGCTCTTTTGAGAGTCAGTGCAGACTCGATGGGCTGAATGGCCTTTTCTGCACTGGAGGGATTCTATGATTTTGTCCACCTCTCAAGTATTGTGATGATTTTGCTCTGGTTGCAAAGCTGCCCTGTTTATTTGCAATATGTGTGCTTCCTCTCCTGGGCCTTGCTCCAATCCAAGAATATACACTCTAGGCTGATTTTCAACTAGCTATTCTAAAGTTGCATTGTTTATTCTTCTCTTCTGTGCCACATTTTCTAGTGAGGTGTTCATCTGTGACTGTTGCCTTAGGACCAACTGTTGCACTGTTCTCTGTCTTCTGACAATACTAATTCTTCTAAATGTCTTTCAGCTGCTATTCAAGTTTGTCACCTCTGTCCTTGCTGATTATCATTGCCCCACACATTCCAATTTAAAATTCTCATTCCTCTGTAAAACTCTCTTCAGGACCTCACCCCTTCCTATTGCCTCTATCCTACATTCTCCGGCCTCCACTCTCCCACAGCACCTAAGATGTGTTAAAATAGGTCACCCGTTGGCATGGATTTATCTTTGTGAACACTAGTAACATTGCACCACTTCTTTTGCTTACCTCTGAAATTTCAGATTTCTTGCTTGTCTCCCCTATGCCCCAATTAGGTCCTGCAGCTGATTTATGGCTTTCAGTTTTTTTTTTTTCCTCGCTCTTTGTCCCACCACTAATCTTGAAGCCTTCCATTTGGCAAACGTTTTGCTTTCCCAAACACATTCCACCTATCTAGAATTAGAAATAAATCGAACTTCCCCATTTCCAGGTAGGGTTGATAGAACTTGTATGGTTCCTTCCAGCCATTGTGTGCCTGGTACAATGGCACGGTGGCTCAGTGGTTAGCGCTGCTGCCTCACAGCTCCAGGGATCCAGGTTCAATTCCATCCTGGGGTGACTGTCTGTGTGGAGTTTGCACATTCTCCCTCTGTCTGCATGGGTTTCCTCTGGCTGCTCCAGTTTCTTCCCACAGTCCAAAGGTGTGCAGGTTAGGGGGATTGGCCATGCTAAATTGCCCATAGTGTTCAGGGATATGCAGGCTAGGTGGAGTTGATAGTATACTAAGAGAAGATAACAGAGAACTAACCATAGTGTGATTTGAAAAAGGAAAATAGCAGAGGGCATACATATTTGTGTAAATGTTCATGCTCCTTCCTAGTTGCCAGAAATGTGATTGCTACTGATTAAGGTGACAGGCTTATTCGTGTACATTTGTTTATGACAAGAATCGGACTGTTTTCTCATTGGTTTGTCTGAGAATTTTTTTACGGAATGCTCAATTGATTTTGTAGTGTTTACTTGGTAGCTGGAAGTTTTATTTGTTACTGTTTCAAGGATATAATGGAATCGTATGATTTAGACTAACTGGAGTATTGTAGCATGTGTGACACTTTTTTTTACTCCATCTCTTGTGGCTATTGAAGAGCCATTTAGGGAATGTGCTTGTGGATATGAAGCTGATCGATTTAAAGGATACTTTACCGGTGGGCTTTATTCCTATTCAGGAAACAGTGGACACACGTAAGTTATGGGTTTTGTGTGCTGCAGACATGGTTAAGTGGTATTGGATTTTATCAGATAAAGACATGTATCTTTAAAGTTTTGAATTAGGAAAAGGTTTATCTCTTATTTCATGGTTGTTAAAGCACAACAGTAGTTGTAAATAATGTTTTCTCACAACGAGAATTAAACCAGTCCTCCCCGACTTTTGTACTATGCCTTACTCAGAACGCATTAAGGTGAACATTGAGTTATTCAAATCTACGTAAGTATTTGAAAGGAAGTAATTATATATTTTTTAAAAAGTCAGTCCTGCTTGCTCTACAGTTTAGGTCACTTTGACTACAATAGCAGACGTATAAAAACCCTAAGGAATATGAGGACTGGTCATTCTTTCTCTTAATTGATACAGTAGTTGCTGTATTTTATAACCTGTATCATGTAACAAATTAACCAATAGAGTGCTTCTGTTATTTATTATGGGGGTATGCATGTATCATAGTTAGAGTGAAGCACTGTCTTTTCTATTTATCAAGCCATGGTATGAATCATGCTTAAAAGCAATTTCAATAATAAGCATCCATTTATATCATAAAAATTATCTTTTAAATAGAAGAGCCAGCTTTCAGAAAGAGAAGGATGTGTATCAAATTCATTCCTCGTGACTCGACTGAAGCTGCCATTTGTGATGTGAAAATTCTTGGCAAATCTAAACAAGCTCCCCCTCAGTATACATTCATTGGGTAAGTGACCTTAATTTGATAATACTGTGAAAAATGTGTATGTGTGAGCTCATTAAAGTCATTTTGCTGTTTTACTGCAAGTTTAATTTTGTCCACTTCAGTGCTGTAAAATGTGACAGATTGCATTTATGACAATTGTATTGTGTGGGTGCATGATAGATGTATTCAAGCTGAAAATGAATGAAGACAAAATACTGTAGATGCTGGACATCTGAAATAAAAACAATATTCAGCTGGTCTTGCAGGATCTGTGGAGTGAGAAAATCTGTGATCATTATCAGAAAATTTCATCTGAGAGAATTATCATGGAAGGTCACAAACCTGACATATTTACTCCATTTCTTTCTTTTCAGGTAATGCCAGATACACTGAATATTTCCAGCATTTTCAGTTTTTAGTTCTATTGCTAAACCTCTTTGTTTAACTTGCTGGTTGTTTTAAAAATTCAACTTTGCAGCATTTGTGTTATATTTCTGAATTGTGTAAAGTGAATTTTAAAGGCTTCAATACTTTGTTTAATTTTCATTCCTTCAGTTATTGCATTTGTGTTTTGGCAAGAGGTAGTAACAGATTAAGTTTAAGATCTGATGAGTGCAGTGATGTAAGTTAATTATCACGTAGTAGTTTTATAAGAATTGTGGAGTAGTTAATGGAAAGAATGACCATGGGTATGTTGTTCCAGAATGGCAGTACCCCCAGATTTAGTGCTTTACACAGAAAGTGTTAGTGTGGCATTTCTGTCATTTGGAGTCACACAATCCTTTAGAGAAAAGTGTTTGTTTAATGAACACCTTTTGCAGAGAAATGTTTAGGGTAGTTTCACTTTTGTGAAACCTGATCCTTCAAAAAACCAAGTCGGGGGGAGCAGGAGGAGTCATTGTCGAGCTGTCATTCAATCATATCTTTTATCCTCACAGCAGAGCTGCAAATTCTGAATTGTGGGCGCTATGATCAAGATTTCTCTGTTTCAAAAAAAGCATTGTAATAATAATTAACACTACTGTACTGTAATGCCTCATAAAACTGCCATTACTTGTGACCAATGGGTGAGTGGAAATATTATGATGACTAGTCAACTAATCCAGTTATCTTCACCAAAGCCTCATTGTCCTGTTCTAGTAAATGTTGAGATGACACAGAGGTTTCTGCTTGTTCAATCATTTTGTTCAATTTCAAACCGAAGGAGGAGTAGGATATCCATTCTGTGTTGGTTTCTTTTGAGCCTCAGTACATAATCCCTTATCCACCTACTTTTTAATTTGGTTATGCATGTGAACTGAAATCAGGACTAATTGTCTGAGTGGAAAATGGAACTCCCCTGCACAATTGCAGCAAAGTGGAATAGAGCATGTGAAATGCGATTTCATGTAATCTGTGTAAATTTTAATACAACTTTCCCAATCAAAAAACAAAATACTTCTTTACCCTCTGCTCACCCTACCCCGCCCTTTATGCCTTTTAAAACATGTACAAAAGTTCCTGATGCAGTTCAACACAAAATAAGTTTCAACTCCCTTACTTCTGATTTTCAAAGTATGAGATATGGAAGCATGAAAATATTCCTAAATTGTTATCCATTCCTATGAATTAAAAATCAGCTAAAAACAGACCCTTTAGCATCACCATTATTAAATATTCTGTGAGGAAACTCCACTGTGGTTGAACTGCAGGCTAGGTATTGTCATGGTGGTCGATAACAATAGCATTTCCCCATTCCACTGCCACCAAGGTGATTTAATTGATCAGATCTACCTCAATTACTGAGTCCTTGGCATTTGATCAGAGTTTCAAAAGTGATAGTCTCCTGGTCTATAAACTAGAGACCCTCGCACAATTTACACTGACCAGAGTTTCTGTGCTGCCTTCAGTGTTTGGTTTTCACAGTAAAATAGGATATTTAACCTCAATAATTCCAATTTAATTCCGATCAATACATTTTTTTTTCCCGGAGACCAATACTTTAACTAAACTCGATATAGAACAGAGGAAAAAAAACAGAATGACGAATGCTTAGAAAAACACCAATAAATTATGTAATCTCTTTCCTTTTATTTTTCAGTTGCCTTTCCAAAAGACTGACTGTAACATAACTGAAGAAAAAGTTAGTTTTCACAGTTAAACAAAACCTTTTGTAGCTTCCTCCTGAAAAGGGAAAAGGAGGAGCTACAGTCAAGGTTACCGAAATATTTTTGAAGATGTTTTGATGAAACTATATGCTGAAAATATACAGTTTTTAACAGTAGAAAGGGACATAATTTTTTTTCTTTCTTGGCTATTTTACTCCTTTTCTCTTTCAAACAAATGTTGAGTTTCTCATGTTTGCAACTCAACTGCATTTGGAAGAACACTTTTATTAATAGCCAAGATGTACTGATCACCCTACTGAGTCCTTTCAAATGGGCCATTGTAATTATTCTGCAAATTTCTCTTCCCCCATCTAGTACCCACTGAAAAGGAATAGTGAATCATCCCATAGCCTTGATAAATAACACGTTATCCAGTATTGTAAAGTCCTATTTCTGTTAACAGCATCTCTTGGTCCATGTTGACTACTTGGACTTACTTGTTCCAAGAGCCTTAACCTGCAGCCCTCCAAAATCCAAAAGGAGTTTTTAGTGTTATTTATCTGGCTCTGGAAGGCATTTGTTTCCCCACTTACAGGACAGTTTTCGTTCACCTGGTCAACTGATCTGTCTGGTGGACTGGGTTTTAGAATGGATTTTAACTTTAGTCATTCCCAAATGCGGTTCAGTCCTTTTTAATCTCTACTGGAAATTCACTGGATTTTAGAGAATAGGAACTTGAGAACTATCTTTAAATGTGCGATTAGATTCTGACACACATTATTCTTGCCATTCATTTTTCTTTTTTGAAGCCTTACTTCCCACTTCTCCATTTACTTTAACAGAAATTAAATTGGTCACACTTGGGCTAAATACTGCTCACCTTGCTAATTCGTATTCAATTATGTAGACGTAGCTGGTTATGCCTGTATTTATTGCCCATTGCTAATCGGCCCGATGTGATTTAATTGCCTCAGAGCTGAGAGTCTGGAGTCGCATGTAGGCCAGACCTGGTGAGGCCAACAGATTTCCTTCCCTGAAGGGCTTTGGTGATTAAGTGACAATCAAGATTGGCTACATGGCCACCACTTTACTTGAGATTTCGGTTCACTTTTTAATTGAATTTGAATTTCTTCATCTCAACCCATGTCCCCAAAACATTAGCATGGGGCTCTGGATTAATAATCCTTTGTCATAATCCCACAAGTATCCATAATAGTTAGTGATGGAGTGGGCTCAGAAGAGATGTTTGAAATTGCGGAATAAAATTGAAGATTAGAATAAGATCATTTTTAAAAAAAAAAAAAAAAAAAATTCCAATGTATTGAGATCCAAAGATGTTTCTCATTCTCGTGGTAGAATATTGTGTTAAAAAGCACAGATAATTTCAGAGGAGATGTTGCAAGGAGCACTGTATAAAAATCAGTCATTATTTGTTTTTACTTTAATACGTTCTTTGTCATTATTGAGGAATGAACATTAGCACTGAATCGACTAGCCTCTGGTATTTGTGGAATTGTTAGAAAGGCTTAGTTGCAAGTATTTCTCTTTAGTCTACATAAAACTAGGTTGTTGGAAAAGATGAGATAGTAGGAACTGCAGATGCTGGAAAATCTGAGATAACAAGGTGTAGAGCTGGATGAACACAGCA